TCTGCACGTTGACGTTCATACATACATAACCAGCGAAAAGGCGTTGCCGTGAACGTATATTTTCAGGATGATTCCTGCGGCGCACGCCGCGCACGCCGCGTCCTGCAACGTAGTATGAAGGAACTCAAAGAGGAGCCGATGTGGGAATTTGTAGATAGGGTGTAAAAAAATCTAACAATTCAACTTTCTTGTATATAAAAAGCTTTTGCAAACCGTCGATGACCCTTTCCTAGAGCTGGAACACAGGAAAGCATGAAGCAAGTTATCTATCGCTCTTCATTACTGTGTTTCGCTGTGGGACCTTCCAGATACAACGCCACTGTGGATCTCGCGCTGTTATCAAAGTGCTTCTAGTGAAAGGATGTCCACCAAGACAGGAACATGGAAATATTGTATTGAATTAGAGGGAGAAACTACCATGGTATAATGACATGGCCGGCCGAGTTGGGTATGTCAGCTAGTATAATAAGTTATACAAAGTTCGACTGCAGATAAGCACAGAAGTGGATCACTTGGATCACATTGACGACTTCTATTAGGATGCTCAATGCTACTCCATAATACAGTAAGAGATTGTCAGTAGTGTGTTCTAACATCATCATCTAACACATCTAGACGGTTTTGAGATCATAGAAGTCTGCCGGGAGTAACTACCTCTCGTCCTAACCTTCGTCGACTATGAGAAAGCCTTTGACAGCGTCGAAACCAAGGCCATCCTGTCAGCGCTGGTCGATCAAGGAGTGGACCCAGCTTAGGTGAGGACGTTAGCCCTTTACAAGTGTACAACGAAGATGAAGTAGTTCCATCGTCCCCTGACCATCCCAATTGGAAAAAGGGATCCGATAAGTCGACACAATTTTACCGAAGCTGTTCGTCGCCTTGCAGTGAGTGATGAAGTTAAGGACTGGGATGAGAGAGGCCTACGAGTTAATGGGAGATTTCTGTCGGACCTTCGTTTTGTAGACGACATCGTTCTCTTTTCGAGTAGTATCACTGAAGCAGAGACGATGCTGAAGGAACTGAACGAAGTAGGGAAGAAGATCGGATTGCGAATCAATCGGAAGGAGACTCAGTTCATGAAGAACGCCCTTTGCGAAGATGCAGAAATGGAGTTGGAAGGCACCCCTATCACGGAGGCGTCTTCTTACGTGTATTTCGGACGCTCGATGAACATGGAGAACGACTTGAGGGTAGCACTTAACAGGAGAAGAAGAGCAACCTGGGCCGCCTTCGGGCCTCTGAAGGAAGCCACCGACCAACTGACGGACTCGGAGTTTCGTGCCCACCTGATCGACTCAACCGTTCTTCCGGCGCTCTGTTACGCAGCTGAGACTTGGGCTGACACCGTCTCCACTTCGAAAGCTTCAAGGACCACTCACAGAGCGCTACGTAGTCTTCTGAAGTGACCCGACACAAACAACATCTCGTCGGACTTAGCAGTACGGATATGAGGAGAATGTCCCGTCTTCGTGACCCAGCAGATTACGTTGCGAAAGCGAAGCATCGATGGGCCGGTCACATTATGAGAAGAACAGACGACAGATGGACACTAAGAACACCGGAGTAGATTCCTCGCGAAGCCAAACGTCCCCGAGGAAGACCACCGACGAGATGGTCAGACGTGTTCGTGGGACGGATGGACCAGCTGAGAAATCAGCTGGATGCGATTATTGCACCTGGAACTCGTGGACGCAGCCACCGACGTTAGCCAGGAAAATTGTGGATATCTGAAGCGAGGGAAAAGGAGAAATGGAAACTTCTGTGCTGGAGCAAGCACGTCAGAAGCCGGGCCATCTAACAATTAAGTATCTAAATAACTGTTTCAAAGTCTTTCTCTTCCACGATCGGCAAGATTTCCCTTTACAAAATCTTCAAAATGGGAAAGTTACACTTGCGAACTCAGGAGGTAATCTTTGATTCAATTGGCATGGCGACTGAAGGCGGGGCTTTGTGACCTAATTGAGGCCGCTCGCGCTGGCGACACAGTCTGCCTCTCTCTCGTGCCTTTGCTCTCTGATCATTATCTCGCCTCAAAATTAGGTCATGAAGTTTCGTCTAGCCGCCAAGCCAGTTGAATCAAAGTGTAAGAGTTCATGGCGATTGATTACAGTCATCACGAGAACACTAATTAACACAACCGCTTGACACATATATTGTGTCAAGCGGTCGTTAATGTGAGCCATGACTACCACGTAGGACCGCTTGACACATCATGTATGTCAAGGCTTGGATTTTGTTAAAATGACTACTATCCTGGAATAAACTCACCTCACGAGTTTCCTCTTGCATAAAATCTAAAGATGGCCTCTACCTTTTTTGCCAGCCTTTCAAATTTACTGTAGGCGTACTGTAGATGGCAGTATGCGTGATTATAGTTGAAAAATGTGGGCTGATCCGTAAAAGGCCTTGGTCCCAGAAGGCAGACAACTCAAAATCTGCGTGGTCGTCATTGCGTTGAGCTACACTCTGTGTCATGCAAATCATATGTGCTGGAAGTGTCAAAATTTCATGCTACAGCAGCAAGAGACACTTCATTCGATGCGGCTACTCTTTGTATCCCTGGATATGTTAGGTTAATTCATAATCAATGCACTTTTCTTACCTGATATCTCGAAGACTGATTTACAAGTAGAACAAGCTTTGCTGAAAGCTTTTTATGTTCTTATGTCAGCTGAGAAAGCTCTTGTAGCTTAGGCAATTCTTCTCTCTCGTAGATCTTAGTTCATTTCGGGTCATGCCCCCTTTTAGGTGACAAGAGACTAAATATCAAGATTCTTTCCTTTTCTTTTCTCTGATTTAAATCACTGAAGAAAAGCCGAATAGATTCCCAGAAACATGCACAACAACTGCTAAGTTTCCTGCTACAAAATGCCTTTTTGAACAGAATTTTTGAGAAATCTTGACCCAAGAAATTCTATCACAAACAGGTGTTTGCGGAGGCCTTTCTGCGTCATGTAAAAGTCTTAAACGAAGAGCAATGGCCGAACTTTTGCACTATGTAGCAGGGGTGGCCTAGTACCTGTAGTTACAGGAAAACGATAGAGTTTCAGTTTGCAGCAGAGAAAAATTGTTGAAGCCAGTAAAAAAAGGTGGTTTTTGGACCTAAAGTAACCTGAGTTACCTCGATCCAGGCTCTATCTGAGAACACAGTATTTCGGCAGGAGAGATGTCGCTTTTATAGCGGCGGATAAAAAATGTAATTATTTTGTGCTTATTTTACAAATACTATGAACCGTAAACATACTTTCAGCGACCACAACACCACTTCCCCCCCCCCCTCGCCTTTTTCGTGCAACAATGATAACTCGCAGAAGTAACGTACATGTTTACTCCCCTTTCTTCGTTGACGAATTTCCAGAAGGAACAGTACACAAAACCCTACAGATTACTGTACAATAGGCTGAGCCTGTTCTCACTTGCTAAAGAAGTCAGACGTTCCACCTTCGCATTTTGTGAGAATACTTTTTCCTGCCCCCTAAATTTCTTTCACTTCCTGCACATAGAGCTGCAAATTTTGAAGTGCTCTTTTTGGCCGAGTGCAATCTTTGAAAGGTCTACTTTAGTAATTTATGAACAAACATAATTCATTTCAAAACAGGAAATTCTCCAGACCTCAAAGATTTGTCATTTACTGCAAAATGTAGGAAAGACTTGGCATTATTTTTAGTTTTAGTGCTCAGCAGATACGCCGCTCCCCCTCTCAACTATAGAAGAACTTTCACATGACCAAAAATGAATCCTCAACACGTTCTCAGCCATAACAGGAAGTTTCACATTTCCATCGTTCAATTGAATGTGGTCAGGTGGTTATTAGAAAAAGGAGGGCAATCAATCATTTTTCTCGAGTATAACAAATTGTGTACTTCCACATGAAAAATAGTCAGGAAACCAAATTGAAAATTATGAAAAAGCGTACTGACGGGTTTTGTTTCGTCAAAGATTACTAGAATCATCGAGAATAGGCAACATTGTTTATGGAATCAATTAGTAATCAAACCAATCAGAAGAGCCAAAATTAGAATTTATTTGTCTCAGAATTTTGAGACTGAGACAGAAAATTTTATTTTGCCGTTGCGTCATCATATCGATACATTTTAACATTGCACCTTAAAAACTCTACTATTGTGGCCATAATCGACTCATCGACCCCCTAAAAATCAAAATCGCTGGCCGTCTGACGTTTCACATATGAGCTTCAGTCACCGAACGGTCACACAGGCTCAAGGATTCGTTCATTCACACTTTTGGCTCACTCATTTGTTTACATTAGAAAGTCAAAGTCATGGCAAATGCTTACTGGGCTAGATTCGTCTAATCCCAGTGATTAAGAGCTCTGAACAAACCTTTTCACTACCCTGGATGAGCATTTCAAGATCAGTAATTAGGAAAGTTCTCCTTTCTAAAAGAATATGGCGCAAAAAAATATAGGTATTCAAATTTACACATAAGGCCTTGGGCATAGTCAGGCGATTTCAGTTGCCAGCTGTTTTGAAGACATTTGGCAAAATGCCAGATCTCTTCAAATCCAACCCTCAACCCTCAAGAAGACTAGTAACATTCATGATTTCTGTACATTCGGAATACATTCTATGTAGAAGAGTTTTGAACTATTGGAATATTGCCAAATCGCGTCGCAACTTTCGCCTGAAGGTCCAAGATGAACATCTCGGGAGGTTTCGCAAGGTTTGGTTTCGAAAAGGCACTGTGGGCAACCAGCTCAGATTTGCAAGCACACCTTGATAACTGTAAAACCACTTCTGGGTAACATAGAAGGAAATTTCACTAGAAATCAGAATTCCGTGCACTTGATGTTGAACATCGACTGAAAATTACTTATTGGGTTAACTATCTAATAATTATCAATTATCAACAGCTATCAACCACAATGTCAATCAATCTGATACCTTCAAGCGTAATTATCATCTCTTTTCAGTAACTTTTGCAAAATTCATCATTTCCAATAGATGCTAGAAGACTTCATTTCAGACAGAGCCTGAGATAGTTTATTGCATCATAAAATACAAAAACACAAACGTAAAGCGATAACTACAGATAAATGCTGAGCATTCGTGTCGAAGACAGCTTGTATGTACATCACGTCGGATAGTAGCTTCACTTCTTGCCCCACATTCCCATTCCCCACGGTCGATACATTCCCATTCCATACATGCCAGGCCACATACCGTAACCCATACCCCATGGGCGATACATTCCCATTCCCCAGCCCCATCCTGGAAGAGCGATTTTATAAATGGATCTCAAAACGATTTAATTGAAAAGGAGTCGAATAAAGTGAACGAGAAACTTACCCCATTGGGCTGATGTTGAATAAACTAGAGCGAGTACGAGGAGCAGTGTAAGAATAAGCTTACTTGACAACATTTTCTGAAATATAATTTCTGTAAATGTAGTGAAAGAGGCAGAAAAAACGAAAAAAGTAGCCGAAAGCAGGGTTTAGTACAGTTGGCACTGGGTCAGGCTAGATATCGTTTTTGGGACAAAAAGCAAAGAGGATATCCTTTATGACCGAAAAGGCACAAACATTGCGACATTTCGTTTTTTGACGGCTTCTAAAGTATAAGGACAAGGTTCGATGGGGACTTCGTACGAAATTTCCAAATCAAAGGGACTTCATTTTGAAATTTCCTTGGTGCTACCTCGTGCCGAGCCCTGGCTCAAAGGCTTCGGACGACTCTGGAACTATGAAAACAAAAAGGTAAAGGCGAAGAATTTAAAGAAGAAGACGCTCAATTTGTATATCGATTTCAGGAATATCAGCCGAAGATCAGTTGAAATGGTCGAATACGGTAGTCATGGGGTGTTTTAATATGACCTAGTGGCCATCGGTCATATTTTCCAGTCAACTTTCATATGGAAAGATGTCATCAATCGTCAACAACGAAAAATTCGCCAAATAGCTCCAAGGACGTCGTGAAAACGCAGATTTTTGATGTTGAAACGAATATCCGGAAAGACATATCCACTAAAGAAACCTTCTTGTGCCTGAACTCAAATCACATGCGTCACAAAATGAACTTGAACGTCATCAATGTGGTTTGTCTCTCAGACAACATAGATACAAATATTAAGTTGTCTAAAAAATAAGTTTGATCTCTAAGGCTTAGGCTAAGGGCTCCTACAAATGTGGCAGACAAATTTGTGTCCGAAATTTGGTATTTTGGAATGCATTTCGTAAGTGGAATGCGAATATTGTTTGAGGGGAATTCATTTTTCAATGAAGAAAAGGCCCAAAGAAAGGAGATGTCCTAATTTTGTTATGCGCAAGTGCGAGGAAAGTTTGTTTATCTCACTCAGAATCACAATATTTATGGTTTTTCGCTAGATAGAGGAAAGTTGACTGCATTCAAACAACAATTTACTCATTAGTGTATTCATCCTGACTGAAAACGAAACTTCGAAATTTGAAGAAAAAAATTATTTGAAGTTATTATATTAACTATTTGAAATTATCAGTTTGAAATTAAATCTGAGCTTTCGTTTTAGCCTTACTAGAGCATGACCGTCCTTTGCTGTTAGAAATTCTAAGCATGATTTTAGAAGCTTCAGACTACTTCAACGTAAAAATTTATGGAATTATTTCGGTACAGGCTATTCTCCATACAGTCTCTCATAGAGAAATATGGTTTGGCAAAATTGTCGAAAAAAAGAAAGGAATCGTCCTTTTAACACTGTCTACCATATCTACCATAATACTAAATTGAAAAGATCATAAGCAATATGATTTGTACATAGATTTTGATTAGACCCCCATCCTACTCCGAATCAATACCACCATCGACGTCGACGTTGATGTCTTCTAAGAGTCACTGCAGTGTTTCGAATTATTGTCTCTATCGTTCCGCCGTTCCACATATCATAAAGAAAAAAGTCACTGCAATTGACAGCGTAATTGCGCTCATCAGTGCAAAGTTAGTGCAGTTTCTTTCTGGAATTGCATCACAAAGTTTATTACTCATAAATTTATCGAAGTTCCTCTCATAAGGGATCTTCGATTAGACAGAATTTGGAGAAAAACAATAGTACGGTAAGGGCGACCATATTGTGTGGTAAGGAATGCGAATGTGTCCGGCCTAGAATTGAACTCATTTAGCGTTAGAGATAAGGTTTACTATTTGTAGAAGTCCTGCCTATTTTTTCCTGCTGTTAAACGCAGCTTTCAGTCTAAAGTTTTTTACCGTTGTAGTAATTTCTATTCCCCTGAATAGACATTCCCTTGGTTTTAGTGCCTATAAAATTTCGAGTGAATTTATGCTAACACGAATTTTTAACTCCAAAAACCCAATCTGCTAAGATGCGGTTTTCTTTGATAACACTGTGCCCTACTCTAACTTGCTAAATAAAATATTATACGCCAAGCACTCCATAATTTTTCAGCCACAAAATTCCCACGAGTTTTTGAGATATAACGATGAGAGCCAGACCCTTCTACCAATCCTTATGGATGAAAATCTCGACATTAAATGGACGATTTTTATATTGCTGTAGCTTCAAATTTTTTTTCGCTGCCGTTCTTACCAGTGTCTGTGTGTCATCCATGAATTGGTTGGATACGCAGATTAAAAGTGTCGAAAAAGTTGATTTCAAAAGTAGCTACATTTTTGAAATAGCAGATGCTAAAAATGCAGAATTATAAAACAGCCCGATATCATGCTGATTATGAAGTATATAATCTCTCTCAACACTTTCTGCAGTCTTTAACCTAGGTTTTTTAGCCAGCTTTCTTAAACCATCGGTATTTGCATCCTTCCTGGACATGTTCCATGTCAAATGAATCTTCCTCGGCATGTCTCAAAGCTTCCAGATCCATACTATCCTACATGATATAAATTGGATTAATGATTTGTTCATCAAACTTCATTTGCAAGAAAATCGAAAATGAAGCGGTCAGGCAGATTTCGAGTGGTCAGCTAAATCGGGTTTCATGGTCTAGTTTGTGTCTTCGTTGTTTTTAACTCTTCGGTGTTTGTGGGCGATCTCATTTCGAATCACAAGTTTCCCGAAGATGAAAAACAAGAACAAGATCGTTTCGTGCCTTCAAGCATCAAAGATCACGTCACGAAACGGAGGACGGGGAGGAGGGGGGGGGGGGGCAGTGCATATTACAGTAATGATGTCATTTATTCAAAAATGATTTCATTTCGGACATCTTGTAGGGTGAAGTAATCGAGTCTGGGTAGGATGGGAGATAAGGTTACGTGTGGATAAAACAGAGATTATGTCATGCAGTCAAATTTCTAGAAGCTCCATAGCATTTCTTCACTAATTTTTACACCGGGATTTTCGGGAACATTTTTTTTTCAACTTTCGGCGAAAATGTGTAAACGTCAGTGTCTCCAGAAAATATTCATATTTCGAGCGCACGTTACAGCACCAAAGATTTGGTTTGTGACTATGTCCTTGAACTGTTTGCCGAATTTCTGTTGTTTACAAATTAATGTCATAGACACTATATATAAGTGCGAAGTCCAGCAGAAGAGCAAGCAACTACAGTGCAGTCGTATCCTAAACATTCAAAGTCTCTCGAATATTCTCACTTCAATTATGTTCTAACATTTCTGGAGTAGCCGAAATTCTCATATCAGCCTTTTTCCGATACTCTTTGATTAATCAAATACTTTTTAATCAAATATCGCTATCAAAAAAATCAGAAATGAACAATTTCCAATGAGGAGTTTGATTCCGGAATTCCAGAAAATGATGTCAAGCAAGCTTCTTCTTACCGTACTCATCGTACTCGCTCTTGCTTTCACCGCATCCGCCCAATGGGGTAAGTACTTCTTTCTACATTTGTCCCGAAGAAAATCGAACATAGCAAATCGATAATTTTCCAGGTTACGGAATGGGCTATGGAATGTACAGACCATGGGGAATGGGCTATGGAATGGGAATGTACAGACCATGGGGTATGGGCTATGGAATGTACAGACCATTCGGAATGTGGGGCAAGAAGTAAATCTGCCAACAAAGTGATGCAAGAACTTCTCATGATGTACACAGCTTTTTATTTATGATCAAACGTAGTAATAATGTGTACATAGCCTCAAAATAGTAAATTGTATAAAAATAACGCATTTTGTGTCGAAATCATGCCTGAATTGTCACACTGAATTAACAGATATCGTTCTATAAGCATTCTATATGAATAATTTACTAAAACTTTTTACCAATTCAAAGGTCATGCAATCGTGAGATTCTCGTGTTTAGATCTCTGCTAAAATACTTTGTTGTTACTTCCACTTTCGTCTTAAAATCAATCACTTTTATGAAAAAAATCTGCGCTCTCCTATCACCTGGCTTTGGCTAGCCTCCAAATCCAGCTCATCAAAAAGTTGGCAGAACGTAAGATTATGGACCGGGCAGAACTAGGAATCAATGTCTTCCTGTTGCCAAAAATATATAGTCAGCTTATCTGAAGTTCTACCTTATTAGAACGCCGGCCAAAGACGTAATCTCGTCTACCCAGGTTGTGCCTTTTGCTTATGCATAATGTGGGGAAAACTTGATGTTAAGGAATGATCTAGCCTTTTTTTCACATTTTTGGAGGTGAAGATTCTCAAATGAAAATTCCTAACATTTCAATGGCGCTGAAGCTTCACCCACAAAAAATTTGGTGCCTTCCCGTTATCCGAACCCACCTCTTTGAAATTATGCGTTACGTCTTTCCTTGTACCAAATTTCGGTTATAAAAAGGACGCTTGAGGTTGGGCACAAGTAGAGCTCTTCGGAGTAGCCCTTCTTCCTTATTCCACATCTATTAGGTTGGTGCAAAAGTAATGCGCGTTTTTCTAGCCCTTGTTTCAAGATAGCTTTTCTCTATCGAGGTTTCTCCTATGAAACTTACCCAGCATATTATTTAGAAGCTTCTTTCATGCTCTATTCAACGGTGGTTGAAGGAGGCTTCTAGCCTCATTCGTTAAAAATTTATAGAGCTTCATACAACCGCACTCAAAACCAGAATTTCATTGCACTTACTTTTTCGGCCAGAATTCAAACGCGAGTAAAGGCTTTCTTTTGAAAATTTAATTACTGTATGTAGTGGAAATTTTCTACGTTATGCACGCTTTATTGTTTTCCTAGAAATTACTTAGACTGAGATCTCAGCGCCTCAACATGAGTGATGGTTTTGGCCATTCTGTGGCCCATAGATTTTCTTTGAAGAGGGCAATCGCCAAAGTTTTGCTCATTTCTGTAAGCGTAAGGCTGGCCCTCCTGTTGACAGTTTTTGCAGAAATGTGGAAGCTGTTCAGTGCATAAAAAATCAAAAATCTCCATATTTTGGGATTTTAAGGGCTACGAAAAAATGTCGAAAAAAGCGGACAATTTTGAATATTATTTTTTTCCTTTTCGCAAATATTCTTCATTTGAACCCTTTTGTACTTTTTTTGTACTACTAGCTTGCGGCTACAAGACAGTCAACTTATCATTTATACCGACAAATCCTGAAGGAACTTATGATCAGTTAAAAATGAGGTTTCCAAAAAAGATTTTTTTGCTTAACAATCCATATTTTCCCACCGATTTGCGATGTTAACATAAGTTAATATGCTCTGTATGGAGAGAGGTTTAGTGCCTCTGATGAACTTTGCAGCACTGAAAAATATGGATTTTTTAGAAAGTTATAGCACGTCAAATTGAGAACTCGCAAAACTCGCATTACTTTTGCACCAACCTAATAGAACCTTAACTTGTGACACTTTGGAGAAGTTCAGCGTGTATTGCAGCACTTTCATTTTTGGACATCTGTACGCCGAACTTTCTGAGGTTGCAAATGCTTTTTGACGGTGGATTTTAGATGTGGGTGACCCTCTTTAAGAGCAAATGTATGGCGGATTTGACTTCAAATTACCATTGTAGCAAGAAGAGGCTACCAGCTCAATATTTATTTCAAAAAGGAAGTGATCCTCAAGTTTTGAAGGCTAGTTAACATATTGACGACGATGTGGACCGCCGGTGGTCCACGCACTTTTTGCCGCCAGGGGCGATGTGGCCCACACTCCTTGCAAAATCATACCTTTTCCAGGTCTAATATTTTTTCCACAGTTCCACATTTTTTCCAACTTTTTGTTCTCGGAAGCTATGGACTTCTTCGTCCAAGAAGATAGCTGTAGTTGTTTACAAAACATTTTTACAATTCGTAAACAGTCACAGAACCCCGCGCCGAAAGTGTTGTGCAAAATCGTGTCGTCCCACAGCGTCGCCATGCAAAATTAGGCGTCATCGTTAATGGGTTAAAGGCAGCGGCTCGGCAGAATGACAAATTTGGGATACTTGTCGTTATGGGTTTCCCTGGCCAAACTAAGTTCAACACTGTGCTTCGCAGCTTCAAAAGATAGCATTAACCCGCTTTTCCAGAAGTGAAAAGTGCTATTTGGGGGACGGCGTATGCCTGCCCTCGAGCGCGATTGGCTCGCGGGTACGGTAGGTAGAGTGTCTCCACTCACAAGCCAATCGCGCTTTAGACAGGGGATACGCGGTCCGCCCAAATAGCACTTTTCACGACTGAAAAAGTGGGTTATATCTTTTGAAGCTGCAAAGCACAGTCTTGGACTTAGCTCATCGGGGACGGAACGATGAATATACCAAAGTTGTCATTCTGCCGAGCTGCTGCCTTCAAAGGCAGCGTCCAGGCAGACGTCCAAGCCTCGTGGGCCACACCCACTTTCTCGCGAGCCACGTTGAATGAAATCTCTTCAGACCTGACGTGTTTTCACATGGCAAACACAGTCGGACACATAGCGTTTACTTGTTGAAGCTTGATTTCGAAAAGGTTAGCATCAGAGGCACTCGTCCGGGTTCACGCAAAATAGCCCCCCCCCCTCCAAGGTGGTTTCTTGAGGAATTCACGCTTTTTGAGAGCCATATTTGAAATTGCCACCACGAAAAGTATCAAATAACGTGATATTATAGAAGTCGAGAAACCTGGAAGATGCCCTAGGTAGGTCAGACGCAATGCTAGAGAAGCTCAGGCAAACTGACTTTTTAAAGGTTTATGCTTAATATTAGGTTGGCACATAAGTTTTGCAACTTATTTCGTAACTTTTCTCTTTTTGGATGTGACGCATTCATTTTCAAGCATTATGTAGAATTGATGAATTGAAGGTAGGCTACAAACCTGTGCAAACAGTTTGATTTTTGGTTTCGAGCTGGAGAAAATTTGCTCACTTTTCGGAAGCCGGTCAAAACCGAAATTTCGAGGGTCGGAAAACCAAAAATAAAGCCGTATTCAGTCTGACTCAAACATATGGAGCCGAAACTATGCCCAGACTATTGATAGAAAAAAACTTTAATCATCTACACAGTTTTGGATTGATTTGTTTGATACAGACTGAGAACGGCTTCATTTAGTTTTCCGACCCATGAAATTTCGGATTCGACCAGTTTCCGAAAAATGAGTAAATTTTTTCCATTTCGCTACCGAAAGCCAAACTATTTGAGCAGGTTTGTAGCCTAGTATCTAATCTACACTATGCCCAAAAAGGAGTGCCTCGCAGTCAAAAAGAGAAAAGTTACGAGATAAGTTGCGAAACTTATGTGCCAACCTATTATCACTACATCTCCGAAGAAGCTTTTTTACTTAGTTTTGTGTCACGCTAGAACATTCCTCGTAAACTGTACATTAGATTTTTGAGCTTACTTCGACTTCTTTTGGTTTTGTGATGATCCCAAAGTCAATATACTTGAAGGCACCGTGTACCCAGATTATCGACTTCCTTGTTTTGATCGTTCCGGGTCCTTCTCAGGTGCATGATTCCGAATATGAAATTGAGAGTCCGCGAAACCCCGAC